GTGTTCCTGCCGCATAAGGCGTCTGTAGCTGAGCCACTTCACTGCCTCCTTGACTCAGGCGCAGCCTGGGCCTGGGGCCGCCAGGAAGCCTCTGCCTTTGTGGCGGTTAAACACCTCCTCATCTCCAACGATGTCCTCGTCCAGTATAGTGAGCACTTGCTCCTCGTGCTCGCTTGTGACGCTTCACCCTACGGGGTAGGCACTGTCCTCTGCCATCAGCTACCCAGTGGGGCGGAGGTGCCCGTAGCCTTTTTCTCCCATACCCTATCTGCCTCCGAACGCAATTATGCCCAAATCGATAAGGAGGCTCTTGCCATTGTAGCCAGGGTACGGCGTTTTCACCATTACTTATACGGCCGGCCTTTTGTAATTGTCACCGACCACAAACCGCTGCTCGGTTTGCTGGCCGGCGACCGCCCTGCCCCGCAAGTTCTCTCTCCACGGATGACACACTGGTTTGTTTTCCTTGCCTCCTATGAGTACCAGCTGAACCATCGCCTGGGGAAGCAGATCGCCCATGCCGATGCACTCAGCCGTTGCCCCCTGCCGGAGGCCCCCGAAGACCCTGCTGCTGTCGCCCCAGTATTCCTGATTGACAACCTCAACTTGCCAACTTCTGCCGCCGACATCGCCTGGTTGTCCGCAAGGGATCAGGTAATTTCCCAGGTGCTAGACTGGGTTAGGCGAGGGTGGCCAAAATACCCCGTGGATCCTGTTTTCCTGCCATTCAAGTCCCGCCTGGCAGAGCTGTCCGTTCAGCGCGGCTGCCTGCTCTGGGGCCACCAAGTAGTGGTGCCGGCCTCACTGAGGACTACTGTCCTGCAGCAACTACATCATGCCCACCCTGGCATCGTCCGGATGAAGGCCCTGGGCCGTAGTTATGTGTGGTGGCCTAAACTTGACCAGGACATAGCTGCCCATGTCGCGGGGTGTCCGAAATGCCAGAGCGCCCAGGCTTTGCCTCCCAAAGCCAAGCCCCGTACCTGGGAACCGCCATCCTCACCCTGGTCCTGGGTGCACGTCGACTTCGCGGGCCCCATTCAGGGCCGTATGCTTTTCATCGCTGTGGACGCCTTCTCAAAATGGGTTGAGGTCGTCCACATGCCATCCACTACTGCTGACGCACTCGTCGCAACCCTCCACCACCTTTTTGCCACTCACGGCCTTCCTGACGTGCTGGTGTCCGATAACGGACCGCGTATCCAACACGCTCTCATCTCCCCCTCCCATCCGGCTAGTAATGGTTTGGCGGAGCGCGCTGTGCGCTCCGTCAAAGAAGCCCTCGCCAAAATGGATCACCTTCCTTGGCAGCAACGCATAGACGATTTCCTACTTGCCCACCATTCAACCCCCTCCCCAGAATCCAATACCAGTCCGGCGGAGCTGCTCATGGGTCGCCGGTTGCGAACGACCCTTGACTGCCTGCACCCAGCCTACGCCACCCCAACCCTCTTAGATTCCCGTGGGGGTACCCGCTCCTTCGGCCAGGGGGAGGCAGTGTATGCCCGGAATTACGGAGGGCATCCCTTGTGGCTACCGGGCATTGTGGTTGACCAGACCGGACCCTGCTCCTACAGGGTCAGGCTCAATGACGGCAGAACTTGGAGATGCCACTGCGACCAGCTGCGGGGCAGACACCAGCCGCCAACCAACCTGCAGCCACCAACAGATCCACAACTTCGAGCAAGCGACGCGGGGCCCAGGAGCGAGGAAGCCGCGAGACAACATACAACCTGTGCCCCAAACCGAAGCGGCGACTTACCTGGTGGGCTGGCACCATCCTTGGCTCATCGACGACCCGAGCGATCACCATCCTGCGAAGAAGGGTCCTCGGCCGGGCATCCAGATCCTCCAGGCAGCACCGAAGGGCCTCGCACGTCTGGCCGAATCAGGCGGCGGCCAGCGTATTTACAAGATTACGCATGCGCGAGCTTAGGGGGGAGGAGTGTCACGTTCTGAGCATGCATTGAAATAAAGAATTCAAGTGGGAAGCACTCGACACCTGATTGGCTGGTCGTTTGACAGCTCCTGTATAAAAAAGGAGCTGTCCAAACGAGCAGCGCGCATTCCTGTCTAAAAGCCGGTTCTGAAAGTTAGCCTGTATTTGTTAGGGAATAAAAATTGTTAGCCTTTTATTCCCGTC